ACACTGAGTCCTTGTATTATCAAGCTGATGCCATCTAACTGAGACAAAACCTTGGTGTGGAGGTGTGCCCACAGTAGCTAATCCTGCCCTGAGTCCTAGTGGAATTGCTTTTCATTAATTCCAGCCTTGGGAAATGGGAAGGATAACTTTTGAAAGACACGATAGGAGAGCTGAAAATAAGTTTGCGTGGGATCGTGTTCATTGCAATTGTGTGGGTAGACTTACTAGTTTGATTACAAAACAGCAGCGGAAGTAGAAATGGCTCACTATTGGGGCAAGCAAGGTGGAATTTGTGATGAGAATGTGAAGCTGGAGAACAGTGGTGACCAATATTTTCTCCTTGATTATTTTTGTACTTTTTTTCAAAAGAGCAGAGATTTTTCTGAATATTGTTGCAGATATTTTATTGTTTAGTTTTTTATGTCATTATATAAATTTGTTTGAATACATTTTGTTTAATTTATTGATGTTAGGTTCTGATGTCATTTTCATATGTTTATTTTGGATTATTCGTTAACATTGTTTTATTGAGGCGTTGAATGTGTGCCTTTTTGTATGTTGGAATCTGTCTTGAGTCCCCTGGAGGAGATAGGGTGGAATACAAATAGTTTTATTAATATTATTCTTATTATTTCTCCTTATCTGAAGAAACATGCCCAAAGTCTTCTGATATTTATGCATTGCAAGATTTTGTGCCTATGCTCTTCTTAAAAGCTGCCTCATCTTCTGTTTTACTCTGAAACAGCGATAATACAGACTTTGAATGCTTAGAATTCTTTACACACTTCTCTGCTCTATTGCCCTGTGTAGGTGCTGGAGTCCTGTATGAAAAACTGTGGCAAGCGCTTTCATGACGAAGTAGGCAAGTTCCGCTTCCTTAACGAACTTATCAAGGTGGTATCACCCAAGGTGGGTGCCATTGCTGACGTCGCAGTGTGAAAGGCGGCAGTGGGATGGCCTTTGCTAGTGATTTAAGCTGGGAGTTGTTTCTGCTGCATAGCTTCAGCAGATTATTATTAATGTTAGTAGTAGTAGTAGTAGTAGTAGTAGTAGTAGTAGTATTCCTCACTTTTTCTCTGCAGTGGAGACTCAAAGCAGCTAACAATAAAAGCCATAACAATGCGTGAATTAAAACTTAACACATAAAAATAGAATTGAGCATACATTTAGAGCAGTAGAACGCAATTTGCAGATGTTCCTTGGCTTTATGATGACAGAAGTAAGCAAGCCTTGTGGGTCTGGAACTGTTTTCTCCTGTGACCCTGCAGGAGCCATCATAGCATTTGCAAATGAAATGGGAGAAAATGGTGGGTATTTGGTAGCATCAAATTAAATTGCATACCTTGCTGTATGAGATAATTTGCCCTATAAATTTTCCATTTTGATGGGAAGCACTTAAAAGCTTTCCCCCGAAGGAAGTCACAGAAATGAGCATGGGGACCATGAGACACGTTTTTCTCATGTTTGCCCTAATTCATAGTTGTGTGTGCAAGGTTGTAATATTTCCTGTCACAGTACCTATGTTTGGCTGGAGAGTGAGTTGGATTGAATTGGAGCTTTGCTTCACACTTCTGATAGTGTCATGATTGTATGTGAACAGCTGTCATTTTCCTCGCCTTCCACCCACAATCAAGGATGTGAAATTCCATTTTGTGTTTCCTCCAGAGCCTACTCCCTTGGCCTGTCCTTTTCCACTTTCAAATCCATTCATGTCTGATTCAGGTGTGTGTTTCTCTGTCCACCAGTACCTAGGAACCAGGACTCCAGAGAAAGTAAAATCCAAAATCCTGGAGCTGATGTATAGCTGGACATTAGGGCTGCCCCATGAAGTGAAGATTACAGAGGCCTATCAAATGCTGAAAAAACAAGGTAAGAGATCCTTCCTTAACCCTTGGAATAGTGAGTTGGCTCCTGCCTCTCTGTATGCTGAAGCTGAAGGATGTTCCTTACCAAGTTGGGCTGACATTTGGCCTTTTTTAATGGACAGCACCATTGTAATACAAGACCTCAAGTTAGCTATGCAAGTCTTGAAGGTGGAGTTCAGTCCTTGTTACTTACATTGTGTGCTTAACTTTCCTTCAGAACTTGACTAGCCATTTAAAAGACAGATAATTTGAATTTTGTCTATACTTATTCTTATGAAAATTGTGCAAATTGTTGCATGTCAGCAGGAGTTCACCTTGCTCACAGCACTCACCTAGAAACCAGGTGTGGTAAAAAGCAGTTTATTGATAAAACACATATAAGATAGGGCCAAAGGCACCTTTATAAATAACAGGGTAAAAATCCAAGTGTTAATAAAGAAAGCAAGTCCCAAAGGCAATAGGTCAATCCAAAAAAAAGTGTTAAAACATGAATATTCATCCAAGAAACAAGAAACAAAACAAGAACATGAATCCATAGGTAAATCCATAAAGCCAGAAGCAAAACTTGACCAAGAATCTTGGACCTTGAGCTAAAGCACAAACCAGGAACAAGACGGGTTTCTCAATCCAGTAGCGGCATTGCTTGATCTAAAATCCTTTCAACTTTCTCCCTAATTTAAGGGCTGTAAAACATGCTTTCCTTTGACCTTGAGAGGCCCGCTTCTGCCTCTCTTTCCCATGGCTTTTCTTGCACTTGAATTTCTGCCCCCTCAGAAGCAGCCTGGTATCTCTGTCTAAGGCAGCTGCTTCCTTGGATGAGCTAATGTTATCCTCTCCTCCATGCCTGTTGGCTTTCAAATCTCACACTTAGATTCATCCACAGCATCTTGCTCCAAAACCCCCTCCGTTCTGTCAGATGGAGAACCATTTTGCTCTAAGGCCCCCTCTGTCTGGACACCCACAGAACTATCAGGCCCTGCACCCCCAAACCTCTCATTAAGGGGGCAGAATAACAACACAAATAGTGCATGAGGGCATACAAAAAAAAAAAACAACAATCTAGAACATTGCTTCTTAGAGAGTAGGTCCCAACCCCAAGTGGGATCCTCTTAGCTCAACATTGGTGTCCTGAAAACATTGACAGCAGTAAAAAGTTGTGAACGCCAGCTAGTGGCTGTTTTAGGTATTTACATGGATCTTTTATGCAGTTTTTACAGAGGACTCTGCAGAAGATGCTTCAACTGTACTTCATGAAAGTGAAAATCATCCTGTTTAGCAAGCCTTGAAAATGCTGATTTGTTATCAGTAAATGTTTGATTTTTATACCTGTTTTAATATACTTTTATACCGGGGATCACATAAGCATTTATAGGGCGGAAAGGGGTCGCAAGTGGAAATGTTTAAGAAACCCTGGTCTAGAAAACAAAGACTTCCCTTTCATTCATCTTTTTGAACGTTATGAGTTTTTGATGATTGCCACTTCTAACTCCCCTTACAGTCGGCGAGCAATGGAAATACCAGATGTTGTCAGACTGTAATTCCTTGTTAGAACTAGCCAGTATTGCCATTGGCCGAGGAATGTAGCGGTCGGCCACATCTGGAAGCCAGATGTTCTCCATCTTTGCTCTAGACCTTGGACTGAAATTAACAAAGCCATTTGAGAGCAGATAGGAGCAAGTTTCAGGAAGCAATTGTGAAGGGTACATTAAAAGCTGTGCTTTGTAGAGAAGGGTGTATGCTAAAATGTGAGTTATAAAAAGAAAGCTGAATTTTCTTACTGCTGGAGATTTGCTTGGCAGATCATGGAGGAAGAGTGTTCTAAAGCTTTGCTTTTCCTTGCAGGGATTGTAAAATCTGACCCAAAGTTGCCAGATGATGCACCTTTCCCATTGCCTCCTCCAAGGCCAAAGAATGTAATTTTTGATGATGAAGAGAAGTCCAAGGTATTATTATTATTATATTTATTTATACCCTGCTTTATCTCTCCCTAAGGCAGTGGTTCTCAACCTGTGGGTCCCCTGATGTTTTGGCCTTCAACGCCCAGAAATTCTACCAGCTGGTAAACTGGCTGGGATTTCTGGGAATTGAAGGCCAAAACACCTGAGAACACTTTCCTTAAGAGACTTAAAGGTAGCTTTGAATCAGATGGTAAAACTGCAACAAACTTTGCTTATGTATCAAAGCTTTATGACATTGAGGTTTCTTAATCCATCTCATCATTGGGGGGGGGGGAGCATGCTGGGAGCACTGTTTTGAGCACAATTGTTTTCAGTGTAGTTTGGATAGGACTAAGTTGTATCAACAGTGGGATAATGGGAGTTAAATCCTAGCTTATGAGAAGGTTTGGCAAAATGATTATTTTGTCCCTCATACATAGCTAGACTAATGGCTTCTCTAGTTTAATATTCTACTGGTGGCTTCAGTGAGAATAAAGCACATCAATGTGGAAGAATTTTGGATAGCTATGAAGAGGTGTTTCATTATTAGTATGGAGCCCTCGGTGGCGCAGTGGGTTAAACCCCTGTGCCGGCAGGACTGAAGACCAACAGGTCGCAAGTTCAAATCCAGGGAGAGGCGGATGAGCTCCCTCTATCAGCTCCAGCTCCTCATGCAGGGACATGAGAGAAGCCTCCCACAAGGATGATAAAAACATCAAATCATCCAGGCATCCCCTGGGCAATGTCCTTGCAGACGGCCAATTCTCTCACACCAGAAGCGACTTGCTCCTGACACGACCAAATATATCTATATATATATATATATATACACACACACATACACACACACACACATATATATATTAGTATAATGTAGTTCAAATCACAGCCACTTAAAAATGGTCTCCTAGTTAAGATAAATGGCTTAATCGCTACACATGTCTACCTGAATGTTAATTAAATTGGAATGTGTAGAAGGAAATTTATTTACTATTATCATATAACAATAAAGCTACCTCGGATCCTATCCTTGGAAAAAGGCTGGGTATAAATTCAATTTACAGGCAGTCCCGAAGTTACAAATAAGATAAGTTCTGTAGGTTTGTTCTTAAGCTGAATTTGTATGTGAGCTGGTACAGGTACATTTTTATAAAGTATAACTCCAGCCTACATATCTATAAGCTTTAGAATATCCAATGCTTTTGACACAAAATAAAAAAAAGCTTTAGATAGCATAGGGGAGGGTTAACAGCCCCATGGCATTTGTTTTGCTGTCTGTGCCCCTGTTCAGAATCTTTCACCTCACTTTCTGTCTGTGTAATAATTGGATTTTGAACAAAAAATGGCTTGTTATGGAAACAAGAATTGATGAGAAAGCTTCAGTGGAGACACATTTTCCCAACTGTTCCAGAAGTGAATTTCCCTTCCAAAAAGTAGATTTATCTCGCTTCCTGTTGTCTCACCCCCATTTTTAACTATGAGTCATTTGTAAGTTGGATATTTGTAATTTGTGGGTTGCCTGTACATGCATGAACACATACATTCAATTCATGTTCATTGTTTTGAATTCTAGTGTGGCTTTTCTAATTTAATTGAAATGAAGTCAGATATTAACACCTGAACAAATTTCAGTTGATATTGCCCAACAAGGCATGTTTGGGAGAACTGAAGTGCAGTTTACTAGCAGAGATACTTCCAGGATGGGAGGAAGGATCTATGTCAATCCCTTTGAATCTCTAAATGTTTGTATATATGTATTTGTAAGAAATCGGGTAAAACATAAATAGACATTTACAATGGTATACATTATTTCACTGTCCTGTCATATCTTATTGCACTTAGCACTGCCCAGTGAAGGTTGAACTTTCTTGTCTCTTCAGCATAAGATTTATTCGCTGAAAGTTCGTTGGAATAGAAAAGTTTTCAGCTGCAGTTCTGTACTTGTTCCATGCAGTCAAAGCCTTCCACTGTGAGTGGATCCCTCTCAAGCGACTTCTTTCCTTAGAGCTATGTGCTTTTACAGATGCTGGCTCGCCTTCTCAAAAGCTCCCATCCTGAGGACCTCCGGGCTGCCAACAAACTCATCAAAGAAATGGTGCAGGAGGTGAGGTTTTGTTGCAAGGAGGTTTCCCAGATTAATCTGTGTTTGTATCATTTGTATGTTACTTTTCTGTTGTGCAAAATGGGATATCTGGACTGAATTAAAAATGATGATGTGCTTGAATTTCTTACGGGCTGCAAGTGAACTCTTTTCCATTATGAGAATGAGAAGGGTGCAGTATTATAAGTTAAAAAAAAAATCTTGCTGCCAAGGTGAAAGTAGATATTATCATTTTCTTATGTATTTTTGTGATATACCCCAGTCTCACAGTCATTTAGGAAGTGGTAGTTGCACATGACTGAAACCAGCCGATATTCACTTTCAGGATTAGTGTGTGTTCTTGTAAGCGAATAGCACTGGCTTTCAGTTATGCCATGCTGGAGCGACGGGGTGGGGGGGGGGGGTGTTACAGTCAAGAAAGTCTGGCTGTTTAGATTCAAGCATTCTGGCTGCTACAAAGAGCATGAAGCTAATGCAGTAGCTGTTCCCCTTCTTCCTGTTCTTTCAGGATCAAAAGCGGATGGAGAAGATCTCCAAGAGAGTAAACACCATTGAGGAAGTCAACAACAATGTCAAGCTTCTGACAGAGATGGTGACTAACTACAGCAAAGGAGAGACAACGGAGAGCAGTGAGGACCTCATGAAAGTGAGGGAAGGAGCTGTGTTAATTGTGGGAGTTAAATAGTAGTAGCAGTTCTTGTGGGAGAATTTCAAATATGTATGTGCGAAGGCATGTGCGTATCTTTCCCTCATATATAAGTTCTTCTGCTTAGATTATCATATCTGCTCTTTCATGCAGTATGCATTCACAAGGTAGTGTTCAAAAGCTTCTGGTGTGGAACTAAAGTTTCTCCCTTAACAAAGCCTCCTAAGTGATCCTGAGATTTCATTGCTCTCTGATTCTATTCTGTCTATAGTATTCAGATGCCCAGATGTATGTTGCCTTCTTTCCCTAAGCCAATGGCAGCTTTTGAGGAGTTGAACAAATATGTTCTTGCCGGAATTGACTGGCAGGGCTATCCTTAGTACTTACTACTTATGCTTCCAACCTGTTGTGCATTAATGGTAAAGGTAAAGGTTGTCCCCTGACATTAAGTCCAGTCATGTCTGACTCTGGGGTGTGGTGCTCATCTCCATTTCTAAGCCGAAGAGCCAGCGTTGTCCATAGACACCTCCAAGGTTATGTGGCCAGCATGACCGCATGGAGCAGAAATTGTCATTTCTCTACCTACACTAGATGGAGCTAAATGTTATTTTTCTGTGCCTACATATCTTCAGTTAAAAAACAACACAACAAGTGTAAGATTTCAGGAAGCAAAACTTCAGAATAGGCCAGACAACTGGAAACAATAAGATGTACTTCCCATGGTTTAATTTAGGGGAAGAGCTTGCATACAACCAGCCAGAAATGAAGGTTTTGTGCAGGAAATTCAAATGCTTAATAAACTTGTGTAATCCAGAAGCACAATCCATTCAGTCATTATTTGCATTCCACAAATGGGGAGCTAAAGCTGAAAGACACAACTTGCTCCTTCTGCAAAATTATTCTGTCATATTGTTATATTGTCCCAAAAAGTAAGAAATTTGCTTTCAGTACTGAGAAGCACTTTGTGTTCTTGTCCATTCTGATTCCCCTTTCTTTTCCTTATTCTGCTTTTTAATGACGCAAAACAGGCTGATGATTCCTAACTACTTTACATCACATATATCATTAGGAAAAAATGAACCCATTATTGTCTGTATTGAATGATAACAGATACTTTTATGCCTAGCCACGCATGTCATGATGATGGAATCCCATTGCCTCTCTACTACAGGAGCTGTACCAGCGCTGTGAACGCATGAGGCCCATGCTTTTCCGTCTTGCCAGTGACACAGAGGACAATGATGAGGCACTAGGTAAATGCTCTCAGCTTCCTTCTGATGATGACACCAGGATCCAGAGGCACAAGGCCGGTGAATGCCAGTTGCAGAGGAACATAATGTACTCATGTACTATACATGAGCTTCATAAAAGCATCAAATTATACTCTGTAGTGTTGAATAATGAACAAAGTAGCCTTTGGCTTGATCCAGCATGCTTGCTGTGTTCTTATGCTGAAATCCACACCTCTTTTTAGAGCAGGCTACTTGGATGGGTGAAATAGGATTGCTGCTAGAGTTTTCTATGCAGCTTCACCACTCTTATATTGGTCTAGATCCTTAAAGTCTTTCTAGTCATGGTGGATAGGCCTTGACAAGAGATTCTATGTTTCATGAATAATTGCATTCAAAACATTATTTACTAACATGTTTATATGTATTTACTTGTTTGTTCTGTATGTTAAAGGCCCATGATCTAAGCATTAAATAAGTTCAATATATTTATCTGCGTGATAAACAATAACAGTAAGTATCAGAGTGATGTTCATGTGGGACATTTGGATACTCTGTGAAGCCATGTTCTTAACCTCTTTTGCAGCGGAAATTTTGCAAGCCAACGACAACTTAACACAAGTGATCAACCTCTACAAGCAGGTTGTGACGGGTGAGGAGATCAATGGTGAGACTCAAGCTGTTCCTCTCCGAGGTAAGGAAATTAGGGAATGGGGATAGTTTCTTCTAAAGGGAAGGTGTGCTTGATTCTGTCCAAATAGAAATCTGACAGTGAGCTGCAATAGGGTGGAAATAGGTTCAGTACACAAACATAATTAAAAGAAGAATCAGCATTAGGCCTTATATTATCTTGCAGCCACGCACTAGGTAGCCATGCACTAGTAAGGGACACAAGTTACTGACTAACCTAATGGAGTAGCTGCTCAGGGTCATGGTTTCCTGCCCCACAGTTCATCTTGCCTATGGGTTGTGTGTTTTCCCACAGGCAGCACTTCAGCACTTTTGGATCTTTCAGGGCTGGAGATGGCAACCCCAAGTCCTTCCTATCCAGCCATACCAACCTTCTCAAGTGGTGGCTCAGCAGCTTCTGTGCCAGAGTCAAGCAGCTCGGTCTCTTTGCTGGATGATGAACTTATGTCTCTAGGTGAGTTACAAAATGAAAAACGGCTGATATAAAAGCAGAGTAAGGAATGTATCATCTCAAGTAGAAATATGTTTGCTGTTACGGAAACTACTACGAAGGTAGCTAGTTTCTCCTGCTTTGCAGACTAATAAAGTCCCTGTCATCTCAAAAACATGTCTTGCTGGAGTATGTGATGCTCAGGTACACGACAGGCCTTTCTGCATATCTACTTCCTTTTTCTGAACCAGGCCTCACTACTGAGTGACAGTTTTGGACCAACAAGTTTTGTATATGTTTCTGAATTTACTGGCTGGTTCCTTTTTAAGATTATTCCTCATATTAGAACCATCAGTGACAAATTAATCCCCTTGTATTTTTTAAAAGAAAGTGTGCATAAAATAAAATAAAGCAAATTAACAGCTGTGGGTCATCATAAAATGACAAAATAATCCCCCTTGTATTTGTGACAAAATAAAATAAAACAAATTAGCAGTTATGAGTCATCATAAACGTGAATATATTGATGTACTGGTCATCTCAGGAATTCAGCCATACATCTTTTGAGGGTGTGGTTTTTCAAGTAAGGAAAATGTTCTGGGTAATGCTTAGATTTGAACAGCTTAGATTTGATAATGCTTAGATTTGAACAGCAACCCTTTTGATGACATATACTGGCATAAAAGAGGTTTAAAATACCTTTAAATGCCTAATACAGAGATGTACAGTATCTCTCTGTATATCTCTGTGTAATGGTAGCCAGAAGGCAACCAGGTGTAGCTTACTCAGCCAGTCCAGCTTGAATCATAAAGCCAGGAAAGGGAGCAGCCTTTGCCCCCTTCTGTTGAGTATGTCGGAGGTCCAGGAGGGCAAAGGCTGCTCCCTTCTTTGGCTGTACAAAGAGCACACAAAAAAAGCTCTGCCCAGCTCCTCCTTGTAGCTGTTTGGCTGCTGGGAGAGATATGCCCAGGACTCACCTGGCTTGCTCTACATAGCTGTGGAAAGGGTTAGCTTTCGCTATCTTTGTCAGCACTCCAGAAGAATCTCTGCAATTTTGAATCTATTAAAGAATACTGATTCAGATTCTTTTGATTGCCAGTTCATACAAACACGTTTCCTATAGTTGGAGAAAAACTGCCATGTACACGAAGGTGACTGTTAAATATGCCAGTGCTGTACAAAGAACTAGAAATTATAACTGATTACAGTCAGTAGATTCTACAATAGGCCCTCCACATTTGAGAGTTTATGTTTGTGGATTCGGTCATTTGCAGATTTGATAAATAAGTTATCTCTTGGAATTTCTAGTTTTTTCCAGAGGAACTATATGATAATTTCTGCCACTCATACTGGGAGACATAAACATTCCAAGAAAAGCCACTTCCAAATTTTAATTGTCTCCTTACTTTTAGGGTCCTGGTGTTTGGATTCTAGGTAAATGGGAAAATACTTTCTTAAGATGTTAAGACATTGAGATAAAATACTAGACATTGCTAGTAAAATACTGAAACATAAAACAACTTCTGGGCTTCAGAATAAACACACATGCAAGATTATTTAATGTAATTAGTTTCTTGAAGGAACATTTTAAAAAGCTCAGTTTGGATTACAATGATATTTTTTCCCTCATGCTTTTAGTATATTGTAATTTTATTTTGTGGGAACAGACATTTGAATCCTAGTTTGCATCAGAGTGTAGAGCTGGGGTATACTAGTTCCTAGGCTCCATAATGTCATTGTGAAGGTTATAGGCTCACTCTGCTGATGTGAGTCTAAATTCCTCAGCAGAGTGAAGACTCGGACCCTAATATCTACAGGGTGAGGCAGCATAACTTCCTTTTTTAAAAAGCGCGCCATTCAGTCAGTTGAAGACGTAGCGGAGCGCTAGTGGTCTCGTTCGAGAGGCAGGAGTATAAAGTTTTGCCCTGACACAGTTCAGTTGCATCATACATTGGAACAGTGAGGAGTGTGCTTTTGCCATTAAAGCCTACTTTTTGAGTGGATTTGGAATGGCCGGCCCGCTCTCCAGATTTGGCCCCTTGTGATTTTTTTCTATGGGATTTTTTGAAATCCCATGTTTATGTGAACCGTCCAAGGACCCTACAAGATTTGAAGACCAACATCCAGGAAGAAATTGCCAACATAACGCCTGCTATGCTGGCAAGAGTCATGACAAACGCTAGAAATCGGTTTACTCAGTGTATGGAGAATGGGGGACGTCACCTACCTAATTTGATCTTCAAAACTACGTAAAACAAAACTTTAGGTATGCGCCTACATTATTAAAAAAAATTCTGTTTCATACAATGGATTTTATTAAGTTTTGAAAAAAGGAAGTTATGCTGCCTCACCCTGTATTATATTTGCCTAAAGTAATTCAGTGAGTTTCCATGACTGAGCAGGGATTCAAATCCTGGTCTCTCTGACTCCTTGTCCAACATTCAAACCACTACACCACATCGGGACATACCTAGAATAACGGAATACTTTGTCATGCCAGCTTTTTTCATCCGCTCTAGGGCTTAATGACCCAGCAACTCCTTCAGCCCAGGGTACAGATAACAGTGGCTGGAACAGTTTCCAGGTAAGGAGCTTAATCATGGGGAAACAGTGTGAATACATTACATTGGGTAAACCTACATGTCTTTTGGATTCTGATGGAAGAGTTGAAACTGGGGCTTTGTTTAGTGTTGTAGTTCATAACACCAGGAATGTCATAAACATTATTACATGAAGAGTAACTTTTATGAAAGAAATCCTGTAATATGTGAGGTGGTTCTTGGAATCTGCTTCAGTTCCAAGCTGTTGAACTTTCAGCTGTGGAAGAAAGGAAAGATTGAAGCACATGTCAGATGACCTTTAACACATAGTCATCTAGATGTTAAAGACTGCAATTTTTACTGATCATTTCCAGCCAACCCAACAATGCTGATTAATGGGAACATGGTTTCCCCTAATAATAATAATTATATTTATTTATTTATTTATTTATTTATTTATTTATATTCCGCCCTTCTCACCCCGAAAGGGATTTAGGGCAGATCACAGTACACATACACGGCAAACACTCAATGCTGCTTTGTATAGACAATACACAGACAGAACAGAAGGAGGTGGTTTGTTTCAACTCAGTGTGCAGCTGTTTTTGGTGCCATGGAATGTTGGGCTCGAGTCCAGGGGGTGCTATTGCTCTATCCTCTATGATGAAGAGTCTTCCTTTGATTGACCAGCATTTTCTGATCTTTTTTCTTTATGGCATCGTAAAACTCTTCCCCTGCTTTTAGCGGTACCTAATTTCTCTAATCAAAGCTAAAGCTGTTTTCAAATTGCTTAGGTAAACAATGAGCTAGGCTGAGAGTTGGCAGCTCACACCAACCCGGGGCTTCAAACTTGCAAGCTTCCGGTTGATAGATCTTATAATTGCTCATGATTTACCAGCTGTGCTAAACCTCCAGCCCAACCTCCCCTAACATCTTCAGTGCAGGTGAAACAAGCCCCTTGATTTCCACCAGTGATCTATGTTGGAGGAAGGAAGGAACCTACTTTCTTAGTGAAAGAAAATCCAAGCATCTCTATGGGATAGCTAAGTCTCTTCTGATTGGTGCTGTCCATCTTTCTCAAAGACATAGATGCAAATTGAGCTTTGCTGTCAAGACTAAGAAACTGAAAGGCCCCATTTATTTGGAATGCACATTGATTTCTGACGATGTTAGTTTACCCATGTTTTAAGCCCATGCTTTAATTCAAAAGTGTTGTTTAAGAGATGCAGTAAAATCTGTATCACTCCTTGGGTTTTGCAGAAACTTAGCCCTCATGCAAGTCTATGTTGGTAATGTAGAGTTCTTTGGACTCTACAGCAAACCTCACAACCTCTGAGGATGCCTGCCATAGATGCGGGCAAAACATCAGGAGAGAATACTTCTGGAACATGGCCATACAGCCTGGAAAACTCACAGAAAACCAGTGATTCCAGCCATGAAAGGCTTTGACAACTCTTTGTACTCTCTTTAGAAAACATCTAGGCAGACTGGAGTAGTGTTGTGTGTGTGTGTGGTCTAGTGGCTTTTAAAATAGTTTTTTCCTTCTGTTCTTTGTTGCAGTCATCTGACAGCCCTGATCTTGGTGTCCCTTCGGTGCCAGCAGCTTCCACGGGAAAAGCTGATGCTGGACCGCCAGCGCCTCCTACAGCTACAAGTGGCATGGATGACCTGGACCTGCTGGGCAAAACACTGTTGCAACAGTCTCTGCCTCCAGAGTCTCTGCAAGTCAGATGGTAGGAAGTGAGGCAGGGAGTAATTCCTAGGAGGGAGTAGCCCCCAGATATGGTGGGGGCCAATCTCCATGCTCCCTTCTCTTGATATCATGTGTCTCTTGCCTGCCTTGCAGGGAGAAGCAACCTCTGCCCCGGCTAACACTGCGCGACCTCCAAAACAAAAGCACTTCCAGCCCCCCCAACAAGAACACTTCCAGCCCTTCTGGGGGCACCAGCAGCACCACACCCCTCTTCCCAGGCCTGCCTCCAAACCCTCCTACCACTCTACCCTTGGAGCAGCCAGCACCCATTGGCATCCCTCGAGGGTTGCCAACGCCTTCTGGAACCACCGTTCTCCCAACAGGCCTCCCCACTGCCAGCTCCCCACTGGAATTCTCTCTGGCGAATGTCACTGTGCCTCTGGAATCTATCAAACCAAGTAAGTTTGGCAAAGGCTTGTTTGTTTGTATCTTTCCCAGTGAGTTGGAGAGTCCTACGTGTCTCTTCTTCTACTCCACTTTGTTCTCATATTTGGTCTAAGAGGTAGTTCAGGATGTGGAAAGGTAGGTACTTGACCCAGTATGGTCCAAGGGGTTTGTTGGGCTAGTGGGCTCATTAACAAAAGACCTTCCTCTTAAATGCACAGCAGAGCAACTCAACAGCAGCAGCGTGACTCGGCCCAGTAGCCCAGAGTGAGAAAAAGAACTAAAACACACAGACCAGTGTTATCCCTACAGGAGGCTTGTCTTTGTAGTAAAATAATATAGTTGCACTATATTATATAGTTGCAACAAGGTTTTCACAACACAAATAAAGCCCTTTATACCCCCTTCTTTGCTTCCATGCTGGCCATCTTTCTCATTCAGATAAACAGCTTCGCTCTCACAGAGCTTACTCTGGCAACGAACTTATACTGAAGCTTCACACAGTAGCTTTTCACACACAGCAGCCTTTATACTGGAGCTTTATACATGAGTCTTTACACACACTGAGGTTTAGCTCACACTCCTCAGGACGACACTAGCTTTGGCCTGCTAACTCTTTCAGTACTTTACTCACACTTTTGCAATTAAAAATATCTAGCTAACTTTTAATATTTATGGCAGAGTTTAATGGATCCCTCAAATCCCACTCCATTGTGCCACAATGTGCTACAGTGGTTCTGTTGTTGGCTGAATGATAGTGATACCTTGAAACATTTGGTTTGGATCAGCAATTTTAAGGCAGCAGTGCGGAATCAGCCTAAGTACAACAGCATAATTCCTCTGCCCCTTCAACCCTCTGAGATCACTGGTCCCTGAACTTGAAGCACCATCTGGAGGTTTTTAAGCTGGTGGTTCTGTCAGAAGGACAAGTTGTCATTACGCAAAAAAAGAAATGACTTGTGAAACCAAATGATGCAAAAGCAACTAGGGCATCTCTTATTTTATTGTTGATAACATGGGGTGCCACTTGCCTTGCTGTATTCTGCTTCCCAATTAGAAGCTTAATAAAGTCCTCAGACTCTCCCCTCCCTGACAAGTATTGACAAGTATTCTCTGTCAAATTTATTGAAGGAATAGATCTTGGACAGTGGGCTAGTAATTCCTCCTCACAGCAAGGGGTTGGACTGGTGAGGAATATTATTTCTTTTGTGTTCTGGGTCAGTAGCACAGAAGTGGGAAGAGCTTCAAAGGTATACTAGAAGAGGTTGTCATGTGTCCCATCACAGTCTTTGATTATAACTAAGTGTGCCCTCTCCTTGGTACCATCCATGAACCAAAATCAATTGGCAAAGGTATATGATAGCAGTCTCAGTTGCTAGTTACTTGGGTTGCATTCCTTCTGCCTGGAAAGATCTCAGAATCCAAACTTGATGTGTTCACAGATTACAAAACATTTTAACTTCCCCCAGACTTTAGCCACCAAGGTTAAGATAGAAGGAGATTATTAATTGCTTTCCTCTGTTTCAGCAGCACATTTTTATGTCTTCTTCATAATTATTACCACCAGTCTTTCAGTGGAAGTGGTTTACTGATTTAGATTGCATTAAATAGATGACTTTATAAAGACTTTTTGAACTTGGTTGTGATCTGGAGTGGGGTGGATATAATGATCCAGAATACTGACTTTGGACAGTGAATGAGAGTTTTCATCTGAGTAATGAACCAATCCTTTCCCTCTTATGTTTTATGTTTCTGTTGGTATTCTCTCTAGGTAGTATCCTTCCTGTGACTGTGTATGATCAACATGGCTTCCGTGTCCTCTTTCATTTTGCCAAGGACTCTCTGCCTGACCAGCCTGATGTCTTGGTGGTGGTCATCTCCATGCTCAGCACAGCCCCCTCGCCCATCAAGAACATCATCTTTCAGTCTGCAGTACCCAAGGTACTATCGTCATTCAAGATAGCAAGCATTCAATAATGATTAGTTCCTACTTATATATGCCCAGGCCCTAGGTCACCAGATAGTACTTTCTTTTGCACTTCATCCACTTCCCTGGCCCTATAGTATGCTATTTGCACAATCCCTTGCCCAGCCCTTTTATACCTTGGTCATGCCCATTTTAGAAATCTTGGTCATTGTTTATGTTGAACCTGCTCTGATGGAGCTCCAATGCATTCTGGTTTATTCTGTTACGCTTAGTATGTTTTATCTTGATTGTTGTATTGTATGATTGTCCTATTTTAATGTGTTTTATTTTATGGGTTGTTTTTGCTTTTATGTCTTGTGGACATTTGTAAGCCTCCCCGAGCCCCTTCGGGAAGACAGTGGCAGAATATAAGAATAAATTTGTCTATAACATGGTATTATTTAAAATAGTCTCTATCAATGGTGATACGGTTGCATCACCTTTGAACACACTCATAAAATCCTCTTTGGACAAACTCTTTTGGGCACATCTGTCTTTGAACATGATTTTAATCAATTCTTGCTCAATATGCATGTTTCTGAGCCTTCTCAGAATGTTGGCAGCAGTACATCCTTCTTTGATCAAGAACTCAATTGCTGCTCTTTGTTTCTACTTCATATCTATGGCAAAGCAACACTCATAGACAAGGAATATAGAGATGTACGCTTTAACAGTGAAGCCATTGAATCATTCTATATGTTCTAATTTTTGCAGGTAATGAAGGTGAAGCTGCAGCCACCCTCCGGAACAGAACTCCCAGCATTCAATCCAATAATGCCCCCTGCGGCAATCACTCAAGTCCTCCTGCTTGCTAACCCACAGAAGGTAACGGCTCCCCTCTAGAAAGTAGAATAAGCTACTTCTTCTCCTAATTTTGTGTCTGTTTAACTACTGCCCCACAAGCTTTTTCTGTGCAGTCAGGCATTCCTTGGAATGGGGGATGCAGAACTTTGGTACAGATGTTTTGGACTACAACCCCATCCCTGATTCTAGTTTCTTGTAATGTAAGACCCTGTCAAAAATGGGGAAGAAGCAGATTTGCCACAACTCAGAGTCCCAAAGCTTTGTAAGGCTAAAGAAGGGAGCCTAATTATTTTTTAGTGCCACAAGCAAAACTAAATTGTGTGGTAGTGGAGAATGGTTCCCATAACCCATGTCAGGGAATTCATTTTATCTCAGTTCCCTGACAGACCCAATTCATTCAGTATGTTGTGGTCACTTGGCTGTTTTTGTGGTTTCTAAATTCCCCAGCATCCCTCAGTTTATTTTGTTTAAACGTCAGAATAAGGGATATGATTCTTCACTAAATCAAGGCATGAGACACACACATGTACACTTCTTATCTTAGCAAGAAAAAAGCCTCACCAGAATTTTAAAACCTAGCAACGACCTTCCATCTACTTTTAGTTTCATTGAGAGTAGTTTGTGCAGTTTGCATTCAGCATTGGTGATGGGAAATGGCCCCTGTATCGTCCACTGTTCACCACAAGAGGGATTCCACTTCTGCCTTAGAAGGAAGCCTCAACATTGCCATATTTATTGTCGAAGGCTTTCATGGCTGGAATCACTAAGTTCTTGTGGGTTTTTTCGGGCTATATGGCCATGTTCTAGAGGCATTCTCTCCTGACGTTTCGCCTGCATCTATGGCAAGCATCCTCAGAGGTAGTGAGGTCTGTTGGAACTAGGAAAAAGGGTTTATATATCTGTGGAATGACCAGGGTGAGACAAAGGACTTTTGTCAGTTGGGCTAGGTGTGAATATTTCAACTGACCACCTTGATTAGCATACAATGGGCTGACTGTGCCTGGAGCAAACTCTTCTTGAGAGGTAATTAGATGTCCCTGCCTGTTTCCTCTCTGCTGTTTTTGCTGTTGCAATTTTAGAATTTTTTAATACTGGTAGCCAGATCTTCTTCATTTTCATGGTTTCCTCCTTTCTGGTGAAATTGTCCACATATTTGTGTATTTCAATGGCTTCTCTGTGTAGTTTGACATGGTGGTTGTGAGAGTGGTGGTTCTCATCCCTGGGGGGACTCACGTGTTCGCAACATACTAGTGGCAAAAAATCATTGCCAACATACAGCACACAAAGAAATCATAATAACTAATTACTACATATAACTATGAACTTAAAATCAATTGAAACCATTAAACATAGACTCCTCCTGTGTCTTTAACTATTGTACGCCTTCCCTCTGACCAGGAAAAAGTGAGGCTACGATACAAGCTGACTTTCACGGTGGCAGACCGGACCTACAATGAAATGGGCGATGTGGACCAGTTCCCCTCTCCAGAATCATGGGGCAACCTCTAGTGCTGCCGGTGGTGTGCTGCATCAGACGTCTAAGGATCCTGCCTTCCTGGGGCTGGCTAGTACTTTGGACTCTGCTCTCAGACTGGAAAGCTGGCAGTCAGCAGTATGCTGCTGGTGAAGGATGGCAGGCAGAAGGGAAAGAAGGGAGATGCCTGTCTTGGGGTTGGTGGGGCAGGAATGATTGAGTGAGTTGTTCTCTATTCTTCTAACTTGGTTTCTGGGCCCCTGCCCTTATCTTGATCTTCCAGCTGCACTTCCCCTTTCATGGAGTGGTGGTCATGATCAGTTGAAGCTGACTCTGAGAAACCAGGCTCCAGGGCCCCATGCTTTCCTTTCCCAATGGAGTTATATTGGACCTTACACCTTCCCACCCACCTGCTCTTTCACACTTGAGGACAGTAGGTTGATAGTTAGGGTGAGGGCATTTGCTTTTTCCCCGGTTTCCAGCAAAACTGCACTAGGAGGCCTAGTTGGACCATTCATGCTTCAATTCACATAGCTTGAGGCTTTCATGATTTGGGTCTCTTTTGCTTATGATGTCTTTATCCCTCCAGGGCTGCATAATGGGTGCAGGCTAATGTCCCTCATGCTTACTGAGCCACAGTCAGCGGAGTACGCGACTGAGCAAATAGGATGGGCAAGAAGGGGTGGTATGTAGTGTGCCTAGTCGAAGATGCCTTACCTGAAAAGAGGAGGTGTAGTAGCTGTATTGTGCAATTGTAAGAAGGATGTTTGGGGACAGTTCAGTCCCATACTTTCCTCTGCTTGGGAGAGACAGAGGGTGCAATGAGGCTGTGTTCAGAGAAATGGATTCCACTTTGTGAACTGTGTCTACTACATTGTACAACATAAAGCTCCACCGCCTTTTGTGGATTTCAGTAGCCCAGCCTCTATGGCCCTCCAGGAAGCAATACTGGGAGGAAAGGTGTTACCAGAACCATATCTATTCCCCCTCAAATTATGGCTGCCTCCTCTTTCAGTTGCTCCCAAGAGCTGTATGGCTAGCATGGCCTCATCATGAGCAAAGTACATATGGAAATGCCCTGGAGTGAGGATTCATCGAGTTACTTGACAGCCTACTCCTCAGGAGTCAGGATTAACCTTTGTGGGCAAATAGTGGGCGGGACTATGGTAGAGAAGGATATTTTTACCCACATGGGTCCTGCCTCACATCTGACGGTGACAGCCTGTGTTTTGGTGGGAAGGCCTTTCTGAAGTGGGAATCTGCTGCAACTGGATACCTTTACTCTCTGGTTATCTTTGCCCTCTTTTTCTCTCTCTAGATTTGGATCAGTTTGGTTCTTAAAACAGACTTTGTAAATATATATATTTTGGTGCACATTCTTGCACATGGAAAAGGACTTTAAAATAGACTGTGTGAAATCTGCTGTACTAATGGGAAATAAAAAGAATTCTTCCCGGAAATGCATCTTAAGTTTCAGAACCAATTGAATCCTTGGTAGCATGAGGGGACCAAGGATGAACTGTATTTTGTGTATCTCTGACTTCTAAACCCATCTTTCCCCCATTTGCAAGATTCACAACCAGGTCATAACCAGAACAGGCTCGGTAGCATGATTCAGACATCACTGTCTTGGGCACAAAACTGTGTTAGAATCTGTGCTCCTATTTACAAAATCAGTTCAGTGCTGAAACAAGCTGAACTGTATGGTCTAAATCAGGGGTGTCCATCACATTTGCACCAAGGGCCACATCAGCCTTATGGTTACCTTCAAATTGCCATTTGTAATTGCAAGATTATACAAATGTAACTATGTTGCCTTGGCATTTAAATCTTCGTAGTCCATATGAAATTACATAGACCACATTCAGCCTGCAAGCCTTGGGTTTGATACATGTGGTCTAGATAATATAAACCTGCTGTCTATCTTTTTTTTCTAATATATACAGCCTGTTATTGGTTGCGATCTGAGCAATATATGCCCCTGCTTCAGTATCATGTGTGCACAGTCTAAATTATACTACTTTAAAGAAAAGGGAACGGGGATGTGTTGGTTTTCCAGGTGTCAGATTAGAAATTGCCACTGGCCAGAGAGTGTTGGGATGTTAAGAGTTGTATATCCAAAATGTTGGGAGGACAACATTTTGTAGCCTTGCTTAAACTGAAGCAAGGGCAAGAGTCTCCAGATCTCCTGACACCCAAATCTGGGCTCCCATTTAAGCACTCAGCTCCAGAGTTTAATCTACATCAGTGGTTCCCAGCCTGTGGTCCGTGGACCACCAGTGGTCCACAAGAACTAAAATATGGTCCGCAGCCTCACTGTTACTACACCATTGCAATGGAACGACTGGTCTTGCAAAACCCTCTTATAGTGCCGAGGCAACGGGGGATGTCAGGAGGGGAAGAGATCCACGAAAGATGCAACAACAAGCCTCCTGACTGCTTCTGCTTCTCCTCATCCCTCTCACTAAGCCATTCCATGTGGCACCTGAAAGCAGAGAGCACCTTGGTCTCTTCATTTTTAGGCCTGTTCCTGGTATTATTTGGGGTGCTGATTCAGAAAATTGCATTGGATAGACCACATCAGCTCTAGATTATTAAATATGGTTTTCTGTGGGCGAGCAGGTGGCGATTACTGGATGGCATATTTCTGTATTAGAAACTAGAGCTGATGTGGTCTGTCCAATGCAGTTTTCTGAATCAGCACCACAAATAACCAAACCACATCTGAAGTTGACCAAAAACTGATTCGTAACCCTTTTGGTACTAATGTTGGAGAGTGGTCCCTGGTCAAAAAAAGGTTGGGAACCATTGCTTCAGATATTGAAATCCACATCTACTCATTTGTACAGTATACTTGTGGAATACACATAGTGCTGGCTGTAGTTCAATGCTCACTTCAAAACCATGCTGGAGGTCAAGAGCACTTAATATTGTGGAACATATGGTACTCCCCTGTGCCCCTCCCCCCCCCAAATATTGACACTATTCTCCATTGTATGGGACAGCCCACCTAGTACATTGGCGAAATAACAACCGCATCTGCCATTTCTAGTCATTCATGATTCTGTTCCTCTCTCAATTCCTGTTTCAGTGCCAGGAAGATACAGGTATGCCTTTGCCAGCCACAGTTGGTCCCCATGTTCAGTTTAGTGTAGTAAGGGACTGATCTCTGCAATAGTGAGAGCCAAGTATTTCTAAACTAGTGGAGGCTTGCAGTTGCTACGAGTGCTGCCAACGTATTCACCCTGCAAACTGTCAATTCCTTCCTCTCCTTACAGGCAGCTGAGTCTGAGCTCAAACTGCGGTCTGCTCTGTGCATGTTAATAGCCCACACTTCCTCTTCCCCGCTTCCCACTCCTTTTTTGCAGGGGCCTCTGCAGCAGTAATTGCTGCTGTGTGCCGCAGAGCTGGATAGAGCAGTGGCTGGGGGAAATGCTCTAGCAACTGGGGAGGGGGTGCAGCAAGAACAGGAGGCCCGATAGGGGCTTCATCTGGAAGACTTCATTGTGCTTCTGTCCCCCAAGTTAAAAGCTAATGTGAAAGTAATGCTTGTCTTCTAAAATCCTGACAGACCAAATGTTGTTTTCAATGTTCCTGATGGCCATGCAATGCACCTCTTGCTTGAACCCAATTTGCTAGCCCTAACTAGATAGATAGTTGCTGGATAGTAAGTCAACGCATATGGAAATGCAGCAGATTCAACAGGTTTGTTCTTATGGAGCTTAGCTTTTGGAATCCTTGTCCATGATACAGATTGTGGAATGGCTGATCTTCCAGGTATTGTTAGGACTACAATTCCAGTGATCTGTCTCAGTTGTATGTACAGTTAGATGTTACAGTCAGACAGCAGTCAGAGCCTTATGCCTTTCTTAATAGAGGATTGGTTACAAAAGGAAGGTGGGAATAACCAATATAAATCCTCTAATGCAGGCATCCTTGAACTGCGGCCATCCAGCTGTTTGGGCCTTCAACTCTCAGAATTCCTGACAATTGAACAAGTTGGAGTTGGAGGCCCAAACAGCTGGAGAGCTGCAATTTCAGGATGCTGGCTCTAATGATTATACACTGTAACTGTTCATTGGCTACACTATGTTCTAAAGTTGGCAAAGTCCATTGACGACCTAACCTGATAATCATGGTAATCTATCACCGGGACCTGCATGTTGCAACTACCTTGTAAATTCTGCAATGCTGTGCCCTTTGCATTAACACAGGTTGGAAACAACACATTTCAACTACAATTCCCAGAATTCCCCATCTAGCTTGGATTTTTCTATATTAGCATGAATGGAAGCTGGGGCATCCTACACCTTAATTTTTGTAGGATGTGCCCTGAGTGAACAGCCCTGATCTAAATAAAAATTGATGATCCCCAAAAAAGAGAGCAGATAATATTTTTCCCGCCTAGGTCTGTATTAATATGGAGAAATCCAGTGCTGCAACTACTGTTAATTTTCAATTTTTATTTCTCATTTATTTTTAATAAATTTATTTTTATTGCCTCAGCCCACCAGATCCCTGAAGATTATGTCCAATGGACAAAACTATTTAAAACACTAAATTCATGATACTAACAGCTTCTCTTTAAAAATAGCATTGCAGACAACTAAAACAGTTTAAAAAGAGTTCTTTGCAGTAGGAGGAACAGCTGTAGCCATATCCATGCCCCAGAATTTCCTATCTCTAAAAAGTCTTGCTATAAAAGTGAAGAGATGAGTTTGGAGACCCAGAAGGGCACCTTGGTACAAACTGATTATAATTCCATAGGGCTCTGGGGAAGCAAATGGTTTTACAGTTAAAGCCAGAAACTATAATCCTATAGTAATGAATCAATAACAGCAGCCATAAGTCAACACAACTATTTGTCTTTGATAAATAAATCAACTCATGCTGGCTTTGTGATGCATTTGTGCTAAGGAAGAACCTTTAAAATCTGGAACTTTAATTGCTAGGCTGTGTTCCTAATTCTTGCATAGACTGTGTGACACAAGAATGGGCAGGAGGCAGGTCTCAAATGGTTTTGGAGCTCAGTTCCCATAAGCCTTGATAATTGGCCATGATGTTTGGAGCTCATGAGACCTTGAAGCCTAAAACATCTGGAACTACCTTGCAGGCCAGCTGGTAAACTGCAGCCAATGGTTCTCAACCTGTGGGTCCCCAGGTGTTTTGGCCTACAACTCCCAGAAATCCCAGGCAATTTACCAGCTGTTAGTATTTCTAGGAGTTGAAGGCCAGAACATCCAGGGACCCACAGGTTGAGAACCACAGACTAGATAGTACTACAATTAGGTGGATCTCTAATTGGTTGACCAAACTAAACCTAGGAAGTGCTCGTCAATTGTTCTCTTCATCCTGGACAAAATTAATTACTGGGATGCTCAAGGTTCTGTTCTGAGCCTGGCGTTGTTTCCATCTTTATAAAAGACTTATGGAATCTAATTTACAGATTACACCAAATTTGGGGGGGGGGGGGGTTTAATACTGCAAAGGACAGGATCAGTATTCAACATTAGTTTAACAAAGTGGAGAGCTGGATCAAAACATATATTTCAACAGAAAAAAATTAGACTACTACATCTTGGAAGGAAAGATAAAGTGCACAAATACAAAATGGGTGACATCTGGCTTCAAAGTAGTACACATGAAAAAGGGTCTATGGAGCTTAATAAGCCATGAGCTAAACATGAATCAACAGTGTGATTCAGTGACCAGAAACAAAAGCCAAGGCAGTTCTGGCTACATCAACAGAAGCAAAGCATCCAGGTTGAAGGTTGTAGTGGTGCCACTCTATTCTGCTTTAGTCAGACCTCATCTGAAATACTGTGTTCTCGGCACAACAATTTAAGAAAGATACGGACAAAATGAAGTATCCTCAGAGATTTAGATTTATTACTGAATATAAGGTTTAAAAATGCTTCAGATGGGATTAAAATTTAATTTATGTTAGTAAATGAGCATGCTCATTTGCATTACAAATACAGTAGAGTCTCGCTGATCCAACATAAATAGGCCAGCAGAACATTGGATAAGTGAAAATGTTGGATAATAAGGAGGGATTAAGGAAAAGCCTATTAAACATCAAATTACATTATGATTTTACAAATGCAAATTACATTATGATTTTACAACTAATGGACAAAGCAGTTCAATAAACCATAATGTTATGTAGTAATTACTGTGCATATGAATTTAGCACCAAATCATCACAATGTATTGAAACAGCTGTGGATCCGGGTGGGAGGCAGACTGCGTTGGATAATACAGAACGTTGGATGAGCGAAAGTTGGATAAGCGACTCTACAGTACCTTTGCTTTGCTTTCTCTTTGGCCTTCAAAGATGATAGCACCCAAAGATATGAAAGGCAAAAAATAATGGGAAAAAACCCCCAAAACATTGGCTTCAGTTTAGAATTTCAGTTCTTATCAATCCCTAGCAAAATGGCCAATGATAAGGATTACT